GGGGGGTGGGGGTGGGGGGCGGTTACACAGGCTTTCGAGCAGCTCAAGAAAGTAATGACTAGTGTACCGGTGTTATCACTTCTTGATTTCAACAAGCTGTTTGTGGTGGAGACATATGCATTCGAATATGGACTGGAGGCAGTACTCATGCAGGATTAGTTACCGAGCGCCTATTTCAACCAGGTGCTCACAACCAGAGCAACACTCAAGTCAATGTACGAGAGAGAACTAATGACTATTGTCTTGGCCATTCAGAAGTGGCAACCTTATTTATTAGGGGGACACTTCTAGTTAGAACAAATCAGAGGAGTCTAAAGTATTTGTTGGAACAACGGATGATCGCTGAAGAGCCTTAATGATGGCTATCCAAGCTATTGGGATATGATTTTGAGATTCAGTATCGCTCGAGATTATAAAACAAAGCAGCTGATGCCTTATCCAGAAGAATTGAGGAGCCTCAGTTAGCAGCTTTGTTAGTACCCTTGGTTCTAGATTGGGAAAAGTTGAAACAAGAAAGTGAACAGGATGAGGGACTAAGAAAGACCAGAGATGAGTTGTTGCAGAACCCGGGTAGTCATCCTTGCTATGTGTTGAGGGGAGTCTAGCTGCTATATTAGGGAAGATTTGTTATATCGAAGGGATCATGATATATTCCCAAGATGCTATAGAAGTTTCATGCATTCACGAGCACAAAAACCTACAGTCGATTAGCAACAGAATTATATTGGGCGGGGATGCACCGTGATGCAGAGGATTGGGTAGTCAAATGCAATGTGTGCAAAGGCACAAGTACCTGGCCTTATCGCCAACAAGGTTACTACAGCTGCTAGCCCTACCGAAGAGGGTATGGGAGGAGGTGATGATGGACTTCATTGAGGGATATCCATGATTTGAGGGGTTTTTAGTGATACTAGTAGCAGTGGATCGTTTGAGCAAATATGCACATTTCATTCCCTTGAGGAACCCTTATACGGCCATTACTGTGGCTGCTGTCTTCATAAAGGAAGTGGTGTGCCTACATAGAGTTCCATAAGCCATTGTGACAAGGGGAGAGTTGTTTTGGTTACAGGGGATAATTCTTAAGAGAAGTACAGCCTATCACCCCCAAATAGGTGGTCATATATAAGTGACCAACAGAAGCATAGTGACCTATTTGAGATATTTTGCATCCTACATGCCAAAGAGTTTAGCATGGTGGCTTGCTTGGGCAGAGTATTGGTACAATACTTATACTATTTAGCAGTGACGACCACTCCTTTCAGGATTCTCTATGGGAGAGATCTACACCTTCTTATTCATTACGGGCAAAGCGCCGTGCCTGTGTCCAGTGTAGAGCAATACTTAGAGGAGAGGACATGGTATTATCTAAGCTCAATGGACATTTGTTGAGAGCCTAAAAAATCATGAATATGAAGGATGACGAGCATAGGAGAGAAGTAAATTTTGAGCTCGGAGATATGGTTTATTTAAAATTGGGGCCCTACAGGAAGAAAACATTAGCTAGAAAGAGGAATGAGAAGTTATCCCCATTATACTTTGGGCGTTAAGAGATCTTGGAGCGCATTGGAGGTGTAGCCTATCGCTTAAGGCTTCCACCCTCATCAGCTTTGTATCCGGTCTTTCATGTCTCATAGTTGAGGAAGGCGATAGTGGAGCAGATGCCGTCATTGGTAATTCGAGTTTGACAGAGGATATGGAGGCCATTTTGGAACCTCTGGAAGTAGCGGGGGTGTGTAGAGGAGAAACCGAGGCACGGGAGGTGATAATCAAATGGAAGGATGTGCCTGAGCATGACACTACATGAGAGCCATATGAGACGATCAGAAGACAGTTCCTGACCTTCCACCTTGAGGTCAAGGAAGATTTTGAGGAGGGAAGTGTTGTTACGGGGGAGATTGGCAGCTGACACACTCAACCGACCCAACTAAGACCGGTCCAACAAAACTAGGTGGGCAGAGCCTGGGAGGAACAGGAAGCAGGTTCAGCCCCCCTTGTGGGCCCAACAGAGATTTGATTAAATATAGTGGGAGAGGAAATAAGGAGGGAAATAATAAAGGAAAGAATTCTAATTTTGAAATAGAGAAAGAGATGGACATTAATTAAGGTGGATGCTTTTGGGGGAATTATAGAGTTTATTTAGGATTGATTCTAGGGTTTAATTTTCAAGTTTTGTTTTGAGAGTTTGCTATAGTTTTTTCTGGAGTTTTCTTGAGGGCTTCCCAGCGGCTTCTAGTTAAAGTGGGAAAGACGATCTACCTCTCTAATAGTAGATCATTATTTCTTTCTTTGGTGTTGATGTTTTAATACAAAAATCAGTCGTTGTTTCTCAATTTATGTTGTTTGTACTGTCTTTTCTTATTGATTTCGTTATCAAGGCATATCAAAATTCTACAAGATGGTGATGAGATTTGCAATGCTTTATGGTGCATAATGTTGGCCATTGAAAGAGAAGCATGATATTAAGTTAAGTGTTGCAGAGATGAGGACGCTTAGGTGGCTGAGTGATTTTGCTCTTGGATACAAGATGAAAAGGTTGGAGTAGATCTAGTGGAAGATAAGATTTGAAAGAGTCATCTTAGATAGTTTGATCACATAAAATGATGGTCTTCCGCTAACTCGGTTAGGAGACTAGATGTATTGGATTTGACTTAAGTTAAGAAAGGTAGAGGTAGACCTAAAAGACTTGGTTAGAAAATATTAGAAATGACCTTTTTTATTAGATTTAAACAAGAATTTGACTCTTAACATGACATAATGAAGGAAAATGATTCATGTAGCGGACCCCACGTAGTTGGATAAATGCTTAATGTTGTTGTTGTTGTTACAACTTTTAATAGGGAAACACAAATTAGCAGCAGCATTATTTGGTCAGGTTTTATTTCCCTTTTATTCAGTTTACGTTGATGAAACAAATTTAAGTAGGATTTATTTGTTTCCCTTCTCTTGTTGTAAGATTTTGAACATATTCTTTGTAAAACTACTAGTTTCCCTAGATTAACAAGACGTATTTTATTTTTATGAGTTGATGATACTCTTAAGACAAGTTTAGAGCATCTTGTTTTTTCTTTATTTCACAGATATAATTTTGGATGGAGCCATGGAAAGGAGAAGCTTGAGTCTGGTAAATTTGGTAAGTGTCACCGTTGTATGAACTTCCATTAGTTTTAGTTCTGCCTGCAGCCAAATGATTGTTTCATCATTGATAGACATCATTATGCAATTTTAAGTTTTCCTCGTATATGAAAAAAAAAGAGGTGCAATTATGGAAACTATATGATAAATGAAAATAAGTTTGAATTGTTAGCCTATGATTAAAACTAAGGGTTTTAATTTTTCATCATTATTAACCATTTAACCACATGTCAACCATTTTGTTTTGGCTTTCTAAATACTTGTTATTTATTCCTTTTCTGCGCCTGTTCTTCAATAATATCAGGTTTTTTGTTCGCTATAATTTTTTTTGAATGATAAGAAATTTTGTGATATAACCGTGTTTTACATATTCAAATTTTTAATTTGACGTTCTTGATACTATTGATCCCATTTTTTCACATAATGCAGATACATATAAAGGGTCTTATTATGCTAATCCTGTTTTAGATGTGCCCACAACTGATGTTTCCCTTATACAGCGGTATGTTCAACTGCATGCATATCTTTTTACGCGACAGCTGCTCCGCATAAATGCTAACTAGCACCAGTAAACCTTTTGCATTTACATTCGCTATTCTTTTATTGTAAAATTTTAAGGTTTATGTTTGAAACAAGTACACATTTTCTTGGCTTGATAATTTCAGATGTTGCGAAATGCTTGTTACATATTGTTCCATATTTATCTCATATAGTAGGCACTAAGGCATGGGTCAATTTAGAAGATCTTAGAATAAAATTAAATAGCCTTTACTTTTCAGTTATATCATAAATGACCATCCTTTAATTTTCACCTTAGTGTTACACTTTCACTGCAGATATGGAAGGGCATGGTGTCTTTTTGATGTAGAACGGAAACACGCTTTGCTAGGGACAAATCTCCTCTCCATATTTTTTTTTTGTTTGACAGCAAGTTCAGATTTCACCAAAAATCTGAGAAGAAAATTCTCAGATTTTCTCTTGAGAAAATAGGGGTAGGGGAAGGAAGAGTTTGGTTGAAGACTTAAGGGAGGATTTAAGGCTGATTGGGAAGACGGCAACCCAAGGTGAAGCCTTGGGAAAATTCGGCCTGCTGTGTGGGTGGAGTTTGGAGAGGATTTAATGGAAGAGAATTAATGTGAGAGACTTGGTAAAATTCGTGGACAGATTTTGGGAATTTTCAGTAAAGGGAGGTGGTAAACTGGGAGGGAAATAGGGAAATATTTCCTAATGTTTATTCTCAGATTTTGGAAACCAATTAAAGGGGTTGGCTTTAAACGTTTCAGCTAACAAAAGGTGGAGTTATTTCTAAACAGAGACATTAGGAATTAGGAAGAGTTTCCTAATCCAAGCCCAGGAGTGATGGACGGCAGCAGTAATGGGGTTGTGAGGGGCATTGAATGTGGTGTTTTAATGCTCTTAGATTTGAATTTAAAATTCAATTGAATTTAGAATTCAAATGAATTTAAATTAAGAGTTATGAAAATGAGGCAATAAATCAGATTTTGAATTTAATTTCAAATTGATTTCAATAAAGCAATTTCCAAAAATAGATGAACTAAATTAGGAAAGAATTTGAAATTTGAATTTGAATAATTTCAAATTCAAATCAATCCCTAAATTAACCCAACCAAATTAGGAAATCCAAAAGGGGTGGAGAGGAAGGTTGGGCCGGCGGCTAATGGGGTGGAGCCGGCGGCATGGGTTCGGGTATGGGGGGATTTCGGGTGGAGGTGAAAATCCGGCGGCCAAAACGGAGATGGGGAGGAGGAAGAAGATGAAGATAATGACGAAGAGCAATAAGAAGGAACAAAAACAAATAAACAAAATATCAAAGATACCTCCACCCAAGCACCGACCACCTCTTCACATCCCGCCGGCCGACCTCTTCCCACCCGCTGGCCCACCTCCCTTCATCATCCCATTCTCCTAGGCCGGCCCCACTCCCTGGATTCTCTTATTTGTTTTACCTAATTTAGGTTAGGATCAAGTTGGAAATAATTTGAAATTCAAATTCATGTCTAAATTTGAATTCAAAATATTTCCTAAATGAGTTCATCTATTTTTAGGGAAGTATTTGATTTAGATTTATTTTGAATTTTAAATTCAAGAGGATTTAAATTAAATCTTCCCTAAATCTAAAATCATAAATAGGAATCCTCAAATTTTCTATTACTATCACGTCCCCTTCCTCTCACATATTTCCTATTCCTATCGCTCCATGTTGCTGGCCTTGCTCTCCCCCTCATATCTTCTTTCCTGAATTTACTCTACAGAATTGAGTTGGAGCCTTTTCCCATAACAGCTTATTGTTTTGGAAAGTTTTCCAAAACTTTTGATTGCTGCTTTTCGGTATAGTGAAATATAATTTCCTCCCTCTCATACCGTTTTCCCTCTTTCATTTGGCTTGGGTTTTAATTTTTCCTCTGATTAATATTAGTAATTAATACTCCACCAATCAAGTCAATCAAACCCAATTACGTTTCCCATCCAAGCTGGCTGAAATTTTCAAAATCTATCCACGGGAAAGGCAGATTTGGGGAAGAAAGTTGAATGGCTAAGCTTGCTGGTTAGCCGAAGCACTCAAGGCTTCCCTTGGGTTCTTCTCTCCGCCACTTATTCTCTTCAAAATCAAGCTAATTCTCATCTGGACTACTTTCTATCAGATTTCTCTCAAGATTTTTACTCAAATCCTCCCCGTTCTACATCAGTTTGGTTCAGAGCATGGTTGCTCACCCTGGACGCAAACTCGACGGAGTCGAGTCTTTTCCACCCCGGGAGAATGATGCGGACATCCAACCGTCCATGCCTATCCGAGGAGCTGAAGATCGACGGCCGAGATCCCTTCATTTTATTCTTATTTTATTTAATTGTAATTTTTATTTAATTATGCATTTTTTCTTTTTTTACCCTACTTAAGGATTTGTTTTATGTAAGCCCAAGGGGCAAAATTGTCTTTTAGTTTCTTTTAAGGCTTATATATAGAGGCCTTTGCTCTTGTATTAGGACTGATGAAATTATAATAAAAAAATTTGCGTTTTGCACTTGGGTTTTTGGGAAGAACGTTAGTGAAATCCCTATGGGAGGGAGTCGGAGTTTCCACCAGCTGCAGGATGGGTCCGGGCTCGTGGCGTGAAGTCCCTTGGAGAAGGGCAGCGTAGTACCCGTCAGCCGCAGGATGTGTCCGGGTCGCGGTATG